TTCTTTAATTTTTTTTTTCAGATCTTTTATGTATTTATTTTGAGAGAGAGAGCAACAGCACAAGAACAGGGGAAGGGCAGAGAGAGAGAGAGTGAGGGAGAGAGAGAATCCCAAGCACTGTTAGGGCAGAGCCCGATGTGGGGCTTGAACCCACGAACCGTGTGATCACGACCTGTGCCGAAACCAAGAGTACGAGGCTTAACCCACTGAGCCGCCCAGGCGCAGTGCCCCCCCCCCCCCCCTTTTTAATCCTTAGTTGTGCACTCCCATGAGACTGCCCCCCAGAACACTTCCAGCACCCCCAAAAGTTTCCTTGCACGCTTTCCCAGTCAGTAACCTGCCCCAGAGATAACTGCTACTCTAAGACTTCCTTATGAGGTCTTCTTGCCCAGACTATTTAATTATATTCAAATTTATAACCTTCAGCCCCGAGGACCAGGTTACAGGAGACACAGCAGGTGGGAGAAGTCACAATACCCCACGGGGAGACTAACGCACCCACAGGTGGGACAGTTTTCATTCAACTTATCTGGTTTCCTCAAAAGTCAACAGCATGGGGCAAGAAAAAAAAAAAAAAAAACGGTATGGGGAAGACAGTGATTTAAAAGACAACAGCCAGGGGCGCCTGGGTGGCTCAGTGGGTTAAGCATCTGACTTTGACTCAGGTCACTACCTCATGATTTGTGGGTTCGAGCCCCGCATCGGGCTCTGTGCTGACAGCTCAGAGCCTGGAGCCTGCTTCGGATTCTGTGTCTCCCTCTCTCTCTGTGCACCTCCGCATTTGTACTCTGTCTTTCTCCCTCTCTCTTAAAAATAAACATGAAAAAATTAATAAAAAATAAAAGACAACAACCAGAGGCCATGTGTAGCCCTTTGGATCTTGGCTCAGAGAACAACCCATACTGTAAAAGATACTTTGGGGACAATTCAATACGTATCTTAGAGAAATCTTGTCAAGCATAAGAATATATAGGAAAAAAAAAAAGAATATATAGGAAAATTTCTTATTTCTTTTTTTTTCTTATTTCTTAGAAATACATACCGAAGAATTTAAGGTCAAAATATTGTGGTATCTTTAAAATAATTGGGGCGCCTGGGTGGCTCAGTCGGGTTAAGCGTCCAACTTCGGCTCAGGTCACGATCTCACGGCTCGTGGGTTC